CGGCAAAGTCTTTGCCGAGTGTACGGCACTCGCCGAACAAAGACTCGGCAAAGCTGTCTTTACCGAGTGTTTTTTGTCGAGCACTCGGCAAACACTTTGCCGAGTGCTAAACCGACACTCGACAAAGAATTTTCGAAAAATATAAAAAAAAACCGCGGCACCAGGCCGCCAACACCATGCCGCCTCGCCACCACGTCCCCCACCACCACGCCGCCACGTCCCTGCGCAAAAGGGGTAAGAAGAGGGAGAGAGGGCGGGGGAGCTCACCGTAGGGGCCCGCACGCCGCCGCCCTCAATGGGGAAGCTTCTCGCGGCCCTGCGCCGCCACTCCCGCGGGGGGAGCTCACCCCTGGACCATGTGTCGCCGCTCTCGGCTAGGGGGCTACAGCTCGCCCCTGGCCCGCGCGCCGCCGACGGGGCTTGGGGGTGCCGTCCCTCCGCCAGGGCAGGGGGGCCGGGAGAGGGAGGGAGGGGAGGAAGGGGGGCCGGCGTCGGGAGCCAGTGGCGGGGGCCAAGCGCTGGCGACGCCTACGCAAAAGGGGTAAGAAGAGGGAGATAGGGCGGGGGAGCTTATCGTAGGGGCCCGCGCGCTACCGCCCTCGATGTGGAAGCTCCTCGTGGCCCCGCGCTGCCACTCCCACGGGGGGAGCTCACCCCTGGACCACGCGTCGCCGCTCTCGGCTAGGGGGCTGCAGCTCGCCCCTGGCCCGCGCGCCGCCGATGGGGCTTGGGGTGTCGTCCCCTCCGCCGGGGTAGGGAGGCTGGGAGAGGGAGGGGGCCGGCTGAAAGGTCGAGATGGCGACTAGAGGGGGGGTGAATAGTCCTTTTTAAAACTTAATCGCGTCGGCTAACCGAAACAAGTGCGGAATTAAAACTATCGGTCTAGCCAAGACTACACCCCTCTATCTATGTTCTTTAGCACATTTCAAATATACTAATTAAGCAATTAAGATGCCGGGCTAGCTAGAGCTCTCCTAAACACTTCTAAGAGCAAGGTTACACAAACCTATGCCACTAGTATTTTAAACAACAAGGGAGCTCCTACACATACTAGTAAGCAAAAGCACAAAGCTAACTATGCTCACTAGCAATGCTCAATAACAAGGCAACCAATGCCTAATTAGAGAGCGCAAGTGCTTAGCTACACAAACTAAGCAATGTGACTAACAAGGTTACTAAAACCAAATTAGCCACGCAAGGGAGCTACTTCTATGCTACACAAGCAAGAAGGTAATTAGCAAGCTACACAAGCTATCTAATTACAAGAGCAACTACACAAGCTTAATATGTATAAGAGTAATTGCAAGCTTGTGTAATGGGGATGCAAACCAACGGAAAGAATAAGGTTGACACGATGATTTTTCTCCCGAGGTTCACGTGTTTGCCAACACGCTAGTCCCCGTTGTGTCGACCGCTCACTTGGTGGTTCGGCGGCTAATTAGCATCACCCGCTAAGCCCGCACGTCGGGCGCCGCAAGAACCTACCCCTTGAGTGAGGGTAGCTCAATGACACGCTTTACTAGAGTTGCTCTTCGCGGCTCCCGCGGGGCGAGCACAATGCCCCTCACAAGCACTTCTCCGGAGCGCCGCACAAGCTTCTTGCGGGCTTCGACGGAGACCACCACCAAGCCGTCTAGGAGATGGCAACCTCCAAGAGTAACAAGCACCACCGGCTTGCAACTCGATCACCTAGTGCCACTCGATGCAACCTCACGATGCAATCGCACTAGAATCGTTCACTCACACAATCGAATGATCACTATCAAGTATATGTGTGATGGAGGGCTCCCAAGCACTCACAAGCATGGACACTAAGTCCCCTTAGGTGCTCTGCCACAGCCATGGCCGAGGGCCACTTCTATTTATAGCCCCAAGGGCTAAACTAGCCGTTACCCCTTCACTGGGCAAAAGTCGGGCTGATCGGACGCTCCGGTCGAGTTGACCGGACGCTGGACCTCAGCGTCCGGTCGTCCGCAGACGGCCACGCGTCCCGATCCCAACGGTCACTTGACCTGACCGGACGCAGCGGTAAAACTGACCGGACGCTGAAGCCCCAGCGTCCGGTCGTTTCCAGTAAGCTCCCCGAGGCATATTTTCTCGACCGGACACGTCCGGTCCACCTTGACCGGACACAGACCAGCGTCCGATGCAATACCCTCGGTACAGAGCAGACCCGTCAGTTTGACCTGACGCAGCCTTTCAGCGTCCGGTCGCTGCGTGACCCAGCGTCCGGTCAGAAGACCGAAGCCAGCGTCTTCGCGATCAACTCGTTTTCACTTCTAACTTCTTCACCCTTGCTCCAATGTGCCAACCACAAGAATTTGCATCCGACGCAATAGAAAATAGGCATTCCATTTTCCCGAAAGCGCCGAATCCCGCCTCGCAAGCTCGGCGGGAGGGAGAGAGAGACCCAAACCCATCTCAACCCTGCAAACACCACCTCCTTTTGTAAATGTGCCAACACCACCAAGTGTACACCACCATGTGTATGTGTGTTAGTTTTTCACAATCATTTTCAAGGGTGTTAGCCACTCAACTTGCCACGTCACTCGATCCTAGCGACGATGCAAAGTTAGATCACTCGAGTGGCACTAGATGACCGATATGCAAACAAGTTTACCCCTCTTGATGGTACGGCCATCTATCCTAAACCCGGTCATAAACTTCTCTACACACCTATGACCGGTGAAATGAAATGCCCTAGGTTATACCTTTGCCTTGCGCATTCCATTCCATCTCCTCCAATGTCGATGCAACACATGCACCAACATGATCAACAATGATATGATCCACTTCATATCATCACGTGATCATATTGGTTCATCGATCTTGACTTCACTTGCTCTTCACCGTTGCCATCGTTCATCGGCGCCAAGTCTTGCTCAAGCTTCACCGCCACGCGGTCCATCACTCCAAAGCCTTCGACTTGCCCTTCACTTTTGCAACCGGTCCATCAAGCCAAGTCTTGTCTTGATCTTCTCCACCTTGATCACATGACTCAATGTCATGTCTCATGTGCATTTAAGCTCCTTCATCATCACATGTGTGAGTTTTGCAACATCTTCAAGCCATTGTCACCTTCATGGCATATGTTGCTCACACACATGTACCTGTGGACTAATCACCTGTGTATCTCACGTAAACTACAATTAGTCCACCTAGGTTGTCACTCAATTACCAAAACCAAACAATGACCTTTCACCAGCGTCGGGGGCCAGCGGCGAGGGCAGGGAGAGGGAGGGAGGGGCCGGGAGAGGGAGGGAGGGGAGGGGCGGCGGCGGGGTGCGTTTGTGCGTGGGGGCGACGGCGGGGTGTGTGAGTTATAGTATAGGAGCTTTGCTGAGTGTCCCAGATCTGACACTCGGCAAAGCAATGTTTGCCAAGTGCCAGAATGAGGGCGCTCGGCAAACCTTTTTTCCCCTCCTCTTCCTTATTTTCCATAACGTGTTTTCTAAATTTGTTCCGATGTACTTTGAAAAACTTATTTCTTTGTCGAGTGCCAAAAAAACACCCGGCAAACTTACTTCTTTGCCAAGTGCAAAAAAACACTCAACAAACTTACTTCTTCACTGAGTGCAAAAAAAACACTCGGCAAACTTACTTCTTTACCGAGTGTTTTTTTTCAAGACTCGGCAAAGAGTTTGTTTACCAAGTGCAATTATTTTGCCGAGTGTTTTTTTTCGCAGCATTCGACAAAGAGCTTGTTTGCCGAGTGTCCGAGGGAATGCACTCGGCAAACATAAAAACACTCGGCAAAGAGCCGGTTTTCGGTAGTGTAGAGCAAGGACCGAGTGGCGCAGTACCTGGAACTCCTGCACCTGCTTCTGCTGCTCGGCCTGCCACTGCCCGACGACGCTGAACACCTCGCCCACCACCGACTCAACCCGCTCTGTGAGCGCCTCTGCGAAGGCCTTCGCGAGGAAGAAGGCGTCGAGAACGGCCTTGCTCTCGTTGTCATCTGCGCGACGACACCAGCAAGAGCACAGGGTAAAGCCCAAGCTCGAATCGAACTGCCCTTCTGCTCCCCACCCCACATCAGTGAGGTTACCTGGTTTGGGTGAGGACAGTCGGAGCCCTCTTCCCGTTTAGCCGGGGCATGAGATAGGGTGGGCGAATGTAATTCCAGGCTGGAGGGATAGGCGTAGAGGCCTAGGCGAGCGTGGGCGGCCTCACTCGGTGCCGGCAACAAGGCGAGCGAGGCAGGGTAGAGGCTCGCTTGGTGGGGGCGGAGCCAATGAGCCATGGGCGGGGGTGGGGGGAGGTGGCGATGGGCAGCTAAGGCTGGGGCCAGGGTGGCGGCGGACTAGGTGATCGAAGGAAGAAGAAGGTGAGAGATAATGACTTGCGGATCCCACATAACGGGTGTGTAACACATCACAAATGGAGATGTATCATCCCATCCTTGTCCGCCCCTCCAACCAAACATGGAACTGAGATGACTCCAACCCCTTCAACCAAATGCAAGACTATCATCCCAGCCCAAAAGACTAGAATCCCATTCCACTTCGTTTTGAAACTAAACACACCATAATTGTGCAGAGCAACCATATGTTCGTTACACCTGGATTAGGATAGGATCAAGGGTGCCATCCATCCAGCTCATTCTCAATCTCAATTATAGCCTCGCCTTTAATTTCTTTTAAGGATAAGGACAGACAGGCAGAGCCTCCTCTCTCGTAGCTAGCGTTTCACACTTCATTGTCGTATCCCTTTTTCACACGTCTATTATGCCAGCTATATATGTACGAAAGTCTCGTTTGGCATTGATAGCTTCGAAGGGCTCTAGCTACCTACTGTAAAACATAATTATTGAAGGAACCAGAAAAGCTGTTGTTTTAGACTTCGATTGCACTACTATATTAGCAGGAGCGCCATGCGAAACACTTCCAAGCGAGCCGTAGTGTGCTCCGCGTACGGGTTGCATTATTGGTAGTGTATCTAGAACGTACGCACGCAAGCACGGGGACGGAGATTGCTGCGAGATCTAGCTGCCCGCCGTCATGGCGCTTCGTCTCTCCTCCTCCTCCTCTTTCCCCTCCTCTCCTCCGTCGCCGGGCTCAGGTACGTCCTTCCTCTTCGGCGCCGGCACGTCGGCTTACCAGGTACGGCCGTAGTCTACATAGTTTATTGACTTGATTGATGAGCTACGTGCCGTCATCATTTTTCATTATAACTTTGCGAACTGGAGGTGGAAGCTAGTCGCTCTGCTATGGCCGTGTGTCTCATTCTCCTTCTACCGTTTCCCCTTTTACTACTCATTTACTCAATGAAACTGTAGCTCTCCCCCTAAACTAGCCTTTCAATTTTTGTTTTGCTGATCTGGTCATACCTGCAGTGCCTGATGATATATAGTATGTTAGTTGGATACTTTCTCCTCTATTGTTTTCCATTTAATTCCTTCTCGTTTTAGGTTGAAGGCGCCTACCTAGAAGACAACAAAGGCATGAGCAATTGGGATGTCTTCACCCATATTCAAGGTGCTTCCATAGGTCTCAGTTATGCATACGACGATGATCTAAGCCATCTAAGCAACTCAATAATAAGGGTATAAGCAAATTATGGCCGTCTTGAGTGGAAGTAACTACTATTATAGTTAAGGAGATTCTAAAACGAATAAAATTATATGGTTGCGGCACCACCTGCATGGCCGCACGCATGACGCGTGTCCCCTAGCCCCACCACGTCATGCCGATACTCTGGCTGGCTTTCCCTCCGAAACCACCCGCATCCATGATGCGCGAGTAGCTGTTCCGTCCAGCTGCTGGGGCTATGCATCGAGATTAACATGAAAGAATACGTGGACGGCTTTGTAGGCGGTGTTGTACAGGAGTCAGACTACGGAACTAGTGCATAGAATTATTTTTCCATTCTAGAACAAGCGATTCTTGGGGACATTTTCAGCAAGGTACTAAGTAGCGGTGGTAGCAACCACTATAGCGGCCGCAATAGCAGTAGGAGTATTCTACCGCTACCACTATAACGTAGCGGACTAGATTTAGCAAGTTGGAACTTAGCGGCCGCTATTTGAGTTTGCGGACGCTATGGTAGTCCGTAATCCTTCGTAGCGGCCGCAATAGCATGCCATGGTATACAACAAATGAATAATCCTAGCCCATTTAAGATATGCATATAGTTTAAGTAACCATAAACTAATGAGATTGCTATTTTTTATAATAATAATGAATGATGGCCTTATGAAGTATCTACGGCTCTCACCATATTTTTTTATTAATTTAAGTTTGTGAGACATCATTTTTTTTAAGTACAATTAAAATGTCTACTTATACCTATTATTCATGATATATATATGCTTAAATTTATATGTAATTATCATATGTCGCTATGGAAACTTAGCATCCGCAATAGTGCCTTCTATCCGTGATCCGCTACCAACCTGCTATACGCTATTTAGTACCTTGATTTCCAGTGCTTTTGTTGAAATGACCTGGAGATGTATCCATTTAGGAGGTCATTGCGCCCTGCACTTTCCTCTTTCTGTTTTTGTCTCAGTTATAGAATCATTTCACACTCTTGAATCGGGGGAGGAAGTGAACATTTTTTGCCAATGAATGCATCTTCTGTTTAGAACCGGAACAGGCTTAGGAAATAAAGGGCCCGATTAGGATACTCTCCGGCTCGGATTCAAATTGAAGTCGGCCTACTTCACTGCTCTCGACAGTCAATCTAAGCCTACGACGCCAGGACACTGCGCGTCGGAACGTGACATCGCCGTCGTTGTCGTCGCTCCCTGGGCTGCCTGTTCCTGATCCCACAAGCTACGCGAGCGAGGACGATTGCACGACGAGGTCATCAAGGAGCGGCCGCAATGTGCTGCAGCCGCTCTCTGCACCGCCGGTTTGCAGTACGCGAGCACCGCCTCCGGACTGACGCGCGGCGACCACCGCCGGCTAGGTGCAATGGTGCATCGCAACGCCTCCGGCAAGGCAGCACGCGGTAGACTCACGACCACCACCGCAGCGTGCACTAGGCCCGCGCCAGCACACCACGGAACTCTCGTCTACAACGCCCCGCATGTGCAGTTGCGCTGGCCGTAGCAGCCACACACTAGTCGACGCCCGCCTGCACAACCGCGGCCCCGCGCTTGCCACCCTGCCCACCGCGTGCGTAGTCGTGACCCATGCCGACCACCCACTCGCCACGCGTGACGGACGCCGCCCATGCATTTCGTTGCAGCCCCGTGGCGGCCACCACACGCGCACCTTTGGCCGGGCACCGCACCGTGCCCGGCCGGCTGCAAACGAGGAAGACGAAGACACAGTCATCTTGGGCTGAGATGGGCCGAGTGCTGAGAACGTGGCTCCACTTAGGCCATGTTTTTGGGAGGTAACGAGAAGCTGTCCAGATGGCTCCACTCGCTCACAGAGGATCCACGGTGATAGTGACGCCTGTCCCAGATGGCTCCACTGGAGCCCACCCAACCAGGACCATTTTGTGCTGAAATCCTGAAACCTACCCAACCAAAATCACTGCTGGTAGACTCGATTCAGGAGGTGGTTGTCCCCGCAATAAGCATGTGCGCTTTGAAAATCACAGACGTGCTTGATTTTATTGCCTGTCTTAGTCTTGGCTATTAATTAAAAATCAGGAAAGATTAAGGATTGAAGCAATGGCGACATGGCCGCTGACCATTATCATCGATACAAGGTAAGCATCATCAGAAACATAAAGACATTTTATCAAGTGCTCATGGATCTTTTTTAACCCTGCATAAATCAGTAAGATTAGGGGGTCAGCAGTTCCCTCCAAATTGTAAAACCTCACTCAAAGTCAGCACTGGCAGGAGGACATAGAAATGATGCATTCGATCGGCCTCGACTCCTACAGATTCTCATTGTCCTGGTCGAGAATACTTCAAAGTGAGCTCATTCTCAGAATCTCATGAGTTGTACTGTCAATGTCTTTTGACCCAGCTCGACAACACGCACGGAATCCTTCCTTAGTACCAGCGTTTAACTTAAACTATATGCTTATACCTTTCAAATATCCCTGGTCAGAGGGTCGCTTCGGAGGTGTTAATCCGGCAGGCGTTAAATTCTACGACAGCCTCATCAACAGCCTGCTAGGAAAAGGTGTGCATTCTTTGTTTTGTTATTATGTGGCCAGCTACCTCCCTCCACAAATGCCACTCGGCAAGACAAGCAAGCCTTTCAGTTCAGTCTCTTTCATCTGGGCCTGGCATTTGATATGCTTGGAGCAGGGATACAGCCATTTGTGACGATCAACAACTATGACATACCTGAGGAACTCCAAGAAAGATACGGCTCCTGGTTGAGCCCACAGATTCAGTAAGCCCATATTATAGCTTTATCTACGAAGATGCAGCAAGCTCATATGTGGTTGTTTCTGCATTTGTGTTCAGGGAGGACTTCACCTACTTTGCTGAGCTTTGCTTCAAGATGTTTGGTGACCGGGTAAAGCACTGGATTACATTCAATGAGCCAAATCTTATGGTAAAGCTCGCATACTTCACCGGGGGATTTCCACCTAGCCACTGTTCCGAGCCGTATGGGAAATGCAATTCTGGGAATTCATCAACTGAGCCCTACATTGCAGCGCATAACATGATATTAGCTCATGCAAAGGCGGTCAACACCTACAGAAAGAATTACAAGGTACACACATTTGGATCAAAAGGGAGTGGAGACTAACCGTGTGCTTGCTCTTAAATCCTCATGGAAGTTGTATAAGTTGTTTTCCTTGTTCTCCATCCTTCTCAGGCCAAGCAAGGTGGCTCTGTTGGAATTACACTACACATGAGATGGTATGGACCACTGAGGAATATCAAAGAGGACCACTTGGCTGTAAGCCGAGTACTGTCTTTCGAAGCTGCATGGTATCTGATTCAGTAACCTTCCATCATACTAGTATTTTATTATTGGAACTGACTTTTTGGTCTCCGCGATTGAATGCTCACTTGATGATATATGCTGAAATAGGTTCCTGGATCCCTTGTTCTTTGGTGACTATCCTCACCAAATGCGCCAAATCTTAGGTCCAAACTTGCCGAAATTCACAAAAGGAGAAAAGCAACTACTGAAAAAACAAATTGACTTCATCGGAGTAAATCACTACGATACATATTACGTCAAGGATTGCATATATTCTCTATGTGATTTGGACCTCTACACTTCTGAAGCTTTAGTTTTTGAATTAGCAGAACGAAATGGGATACCCATTGGGAAACTGGTAAAAGTCGGCACTGTACATTGCATTATTCTGTTCAACATGAATCCTACTTCCAAATTGATTTTGCACAACCTAACACCGCTAAATTAATATTGCAGACACCGGCAAACAGCTATGTGGTTCCAAGCTCTATGGAGAAGTTGGTCATGTATTTAGCGCAGAGATATAAAAGCATACCTTTGTACATCACAGAGAATGGTGGGTTACTAGGTTTGGTAAAATCTACATATTACCTACAAAACAAGTGTGTTTGTACAGAACAATGATTCATTTGTATGCATCTTTGCATATAGTACACTTGTAGTACACTGGTACCATAATAATCTTTATGGACCTCTTGATCTCCCTTTTTGGTCTTACAGGTTATGTCCAAATAGACAATAGCAGCACCACAGCAGAAGAATTAATTAATGATACTGAAAGGTCAAGTTACATTCGTGACTACCTCACTTACTTGAGCTTTGCAATAAGGTTGTTGCATTCCTTAATTATCTTTTCATGTAAACTGCTCTGCAGTCAGGTAATAACAAAACTTTGCTACTTCTGTGCAGGAAAGGAGCAGATGTGAGAGGTTATTTTGTGTGGTCTTTAATGGATACCTTCGAATGGAAGTCTGGTTACACCGTAAAGTATGGTCTTTGTCATGTGGATTTCAAGTCACTAAAGCGAACACCAAAATTGTCTGCTAAATGGTACAGCAAGTTTATCAAGGGCTATGAACAGATAGAGATGGCCTCTGAAGAATCACCTAAGCATATGGTTTCTTATCACAGAAATACAGAATTCTCAAGGTCCATGTTTGTACATTACTCAGTGATTTAATAATGATGTCTACACAGGAAATTATTTGGTAAATTTCCTCATGTCCATGTATGCCAGTGTCATATAGGAATAGCTTGGGAGACGAGAAGATCTCTCGAAGATGAAGCTCGACCACAAGCGTATAGGATTTCTGAAAACAAGCGATCTGTTTTTCTCTCCTGGGTTGATTCTTGTGTTTAGTGGTTCTTTTGTTTTTCTTCTTGTTCTAGCCTCGCTATGGATTAGCTGAAGTGTTTTCCGTTTGTTTTGCTCAGTGTTTGTTTTTTTGTGTATTAATAAAATATAACAGTGGGGGCCTCCCCTGCTGTTTTCCTGGTTCAAAAAAAAAACAATATGACAGAATCATGAATGATGCAAAGTGTAAGCATTGAATCCACACATCAAAGTAATCAGCAACTGCTTGCACAATCCAGTATACATACATATTGTCCCTAGAAGAATGGAAGTCCTCGATGAAACAGTACCTCTGCATATGGCATTTGATACAGAAAAGACATGAATTCATTATTTTGTTGTTCAAATCATTCTTTCACAAATCTCCTCTGAAGCTTTTGCAATGAAGTCCTCATTCAAAGATATAAATTATAGTAAATAGCGTAAATCAAGACACTAATTCTATATTGTTACCAAGGTTTCTGAAGCTGTATTTTCTTAAGAATGGCATATAACATATTACATATACCCAAACACTCTAGATGCAAAAGTTCATCCTCAGGGTACTAAAGTGAACTAATATATATCATGCCATTCATATGAAAAATTGTACATTAGATTTTAACTGAAATGCTAGATTTTTCACTAGCAAATATATTTGTCATCGACATATATCATGTGAAAGCCAACTAAAGCTTTTTGGCTGCAGAAAGAACTGCATCTACTTGCAGCAACAACTCTTCATTGCCACCAAGAAGGCTAGAACTATTCTGTCTGTGTGGGAGTAGCAGGGGGAGATGAAGATGACATAGGTGTAGTCGTCACAATTGTTGCTGAAGGTTCCCTTAGAGACTTTGTCCCCTTATCATCACTAACTTCCGTTGCAGCTCTCTCCTTAGCCTTTTGGGCTCTTTGTACTACTTCCTCCTATATGTATCATATATATATATATATATACATAAGAGAATTCAGTAGCATGTGGCGTAGAGCCAGGGTTACAGAGAAGAAGAAAAAAATGAAGAAATCTGAAATGGAAAATTTTCACTATATGTAACGCAGCTATCAATAATGACGCAAAACAGTTGATCTATGTGATATCTCCAAACAAACCCATCACACTTTACCTTGGGCATCTGGACTATATAGTTCCCCAAAATGAATGCAGAACCATTTCCCTTCTGCAAATTTTCAGGACATGTTTAACTCCACCTAACCCAGGGCACATATCTACTTTTACAATTGGTAGGCTATTACACTTACGCCCATTTTGCAGTTCAATGCTCATTCCTTGTTGAATGTCTTTCGTTTTATAAATTTTGGTATTGGTAAACTGAAATACATGTAAGTTAAACATGGATGATATCACATCATCGAGATGTCATCAATTACTAAAGAGCTCATTGGAGAATTGACATGGAAAACGAAATACTGTGAGTGCTCATCTGGAGCAAGGACCGTGTGGCGCAGTACCTGGAACTCCAGCACCAGCTTCTGCTGCTCGGCCTGCCACTGCCCGACGACGCTGAACACCTCGCCCACCACCGACTCGACCCGCTCCGTGAGCGCCTCCGCGAAGGCCTTCCCGAGGAAGAAGGCGTCGAGGACGGCCTTGCTCTCGTTGTCATCTGCGCGACGACAAGAGCACAGAGTAAAGCCCAAGCTCGAATCGGACTGCCATTCTGCTCCCCACCCCACGTCAGAGAGGTTACCTGGTTTCGGCTCAGGGCGCGTGCCCCCGCCGCCGCCGCTACTCCGGGCCGCGAATCTGGGAAGCCTTCTGACGGAAGAGGGGGACGCGCGACGAGGGGCTGAGGCGGGGAAGGGGACGCAGCAGACGGACGAGATGGACGCAGCAGGTGGTGCCATGGTTCTCGCCTTCTCTTTTTTCTTCCGGTGTGTGCTTCCGTGGAGATGAGGAGGGTCTCGCGCGGTGGGGGGTGGGGTGTTGACACCCTCTGTTAGCGTCTCAACGCTCGTCGCTATAGCCTAGTTCGCGTGCTCTTAAATATCCACTTATTTTTCTATTCGGAACAGTGTTTTTTCTCACAATTTCTTTAGCATCTCTCTAAACCATCCAGATTTCTCCATAATTTAGACAAGTGAACAGAGCCACACCAGCAAAGACAAAAAACTAGATACAAAAATATCACTTTTGCTCACGTGGCACGCCAGTCCTCGCGCCAGCAGGGATCCAAGTCAGCATATACAAAAATATCACTTTTGCTCACGTGGCACGCCAACCCTCGCGCCAGCAGGGATCCAAGTCAGCATACGGGTGTCAAATGTCTCTCCTGCCCCTGCTCTCTCCTTCTCGTCGCACGGCGTGGCTCCCTTTCTCCCTCGTCGCACGGCGCGCCTCTCTCCCTACACTCTCCCTCTCTCTCGCAGCTTGGCGGTGCTACCCTCCCTGTGGTGCGCCCTCTCCCCTCCCTCCACTCTCTCTCTCTCCCTCCCTCCCTTGTCAACGCTCGCGCTCGAGCAGCAAGCAGCTCTGCGGTCCTCCCCTCCTGGCGGCGATCCTCCCTCCCTCTCCCTCAAGCACACCTCCGACGACGTGGCGAGGAGCTCCTCCATCTCCTCCTCCGACGGCGCGGATCTGGGCAAGGAGCTCCTCCCTTTCCCTCAAGCTTCTCCGGTGGCGTGGATCCGGGCGGGGCAGCGCAGATCAAGGGCGTGGCGGCGCAGATCCAGGGTTGGGCGGTCCGTGCACAGATCCGTGCAGCCCCGTGACGCCGCCGTGCGCCGCGACGGCCCACGCGTTGTCCGAGTTCTCGGTGAGCTTGCAGAGCACCCGCGGCGTCGTCTCCTTGGCCGCCTCGCTGCCGGCGCCCGCGTCGAGGACACGGACCACGGGCGCGATGGCGCCGCCGATGACCAAGTCCCCCCTATGCGCGTCTGAAAGCTCTAGTTTGGTTTTGGTGAATTGATAAACCCTAAGTGCTAACCTAGTTTATCAAGTGATCATGATATAGGTAACACACTCCAAGTGGTGAAGCAAATGAAGATCATAACATGATGATGGTGATGCCATGGTGATGATCAAGTGCTCGGACTTGAAAAGAAGAAAGAGAAAAATAAAATGCTCAAGGCAAAGGTATAAATTGTAGGAGCCATTTTATTTTGGTGATCAAGACACTTAGTGAGTGTGATCATATTTAGGATCGATAGTCGTACTATTAAGAGGGGTGAAACTCGTATCGGAATACGGTTATCAAAGTGTCATTAGATGCTCTAACTCATTGCATATGCATTTAGGATCTAGTGGAGTGCTAACACCTTTAAAAATGTTTGAGAAAATATGCTAATACATGTGCACAAGGTGATACACTTGGTGGTTGGCACATTTGAACAAGGGTGAAGAAGTTAGAAGTGAAATGGAGTTGGTCGCAATGATGCTGGCGTCGGTCCTCTGACCGAACGCTGGGTCACTCAGCGACCGGACGCTGAAAGGCTGCGTCCGGTCGAGCTGTCAGACGGCACAGTGATTAGGGTTAAGCACCGTACGCTAGGCTGTGTCCGATCAAGCGTGACCGGACGCGTCCGGTCGGCAAAAATAAGATTTGGACCCTTACTGGAAATGACCGGACACTGAGGGTCCAGCGTCCGGTCAACAGTGTCGGAGCGTCCGGTCAATATTTCGACCGTTGAAATCAAACGTTCACAGTTGAACGCAGGAGACACGTGGCCGTCATCGGGCGACCGGACGCTGAGGAGCAGCGTCCGGTCAGTAGGACCGGAGCGTCCGGTCACCCCGATCAGTACCTAGTGAAGGGGTACAACGGCTCTATTTCGTGGGGGCTTCTATTTAAGCCCCATGGCCGGCTCAAGCTCACTCTCTTGGCCATTTGCATTGACATAGCAACCTTGTGAGCTTAGCCAAAGCCCTCCCACTCATTTGCATCATAGATTAAACATCTTTGTGAGATTGGGAGTGATCCAAGTGCATTGATTGAGTGATTGCATCTAGAGGCACTTGGTGATTGTGTTTCGCTGCGGATTTCGCTTGTTACTCTTGGTGGTTGCCGCCACCAAGACGGCTTGGAGCAGTGAGGATCGTCGAGTGGAGGGTGGTGATTGTCTCCGGCTCCGATCGTGGTGATTGTGATGGGTTCTTGACCTTTTCCCGGCGGAGAGCCAAAAGGTACTCTAGTGAATTGCTCGTGGCTTGTGTGATCCTCATCTTGTGTTGGTTGTGCGGCACCCTATTGAGGGTTTGGCGTATGATGCCAATTAGCGCGTGAACCTCCAAGTAAGTGAATCGCCACAACGAGAACTAGCTTGCCGGCAAGCAAGTGAACCTCGGTAAAAAATCATTGTGTTCATCATTTGATTCCGAGGTGATTGGTCTTCATTGTTATCCACACTTGTGATTGATTGGTTCATACATCTACACGGCGGTATAACCTTCTTGCCTACTCTTTATATTACCGCAAACTAGTTGTCAAGCTCTTTAGTGTAACTAGTTGTGAGAGCTTGTTAGTTTGGTTAGTGTGGCTCTTTCGTTAGATTTTGAGAGCACACTAACTTAGTGTAGTGATATAGCTATTGTGTGAATATACTTCATCTAAACTAGAATTGTGGTAGGTGGCTTGCTTTTTGGTAGGCTAGCGCAAAACTCGCTTCGCCTCATAATTGTCTAATCCTTTTGTTAAGTGTTGTTGTAGAAATTTTATTAGGCTATTCACCCCCCCTATAGCCATTAGGACCTTTCAGCGTTGGACCCAGCGATCACCGAGACCGCATCCAGGGCCTCCTCCTGGATGCGGGGCTTGAACCCTCGCATCTAGGGTCATCTTTGCCAGGGACCCGCTCCTCGACGAGCTCCAGGTGCAGGAGCAGCTCGCGTTCCTTGTTGACATCGGCCACCGGCCACCACCTGGGGCCGACGTCACGAGAGGATGATGATGATCTTGCTCTCGTGTTCGACCTGTTTGGATTGGCAATGCTACGCCCGAGGGTGTTCGACGAAATACGTTCTATTGGAGACCCATTTTGGATTTTGGTCTCCGATGGGTTTCTGTTGAGAGACGGCCGACGACCGTGAGCAAAAGTGGCATTTTTATATCTCATTTTCCGCCTTTCTTTGGTGAAAATATAGCGGCAATCTGTTGAGATGCTATCGCCATGCTATAATGGTAAAAGTTAAATCTCCGGATTCGGGCGGTTCACCGGTTGCGGATCTCTGAGTGAGGTCACCCGACGGCATCGGGACCTTGGTTGGTCATCACGACTCACGACTACGCGCTAAGCTGCCTCCAAGCTATTACCTAAAATACAAGACTTATTTCACGCCAACACCAATACCTATTTTTAGTCTTCCGCCCATGTGCCTTTTCGCAAAATGGGTCTTGAGAGAGGATACTCAACGACCCTAAAATGGGTCTTTCATATAGATACTTTATTGAAGGCTATATCGATTCTATTGGAGACCCATTTTGGATTTTGGTCTCCTGATGGGTTTCCTGTTGGAGACCATCGACCCTTAACTCCGAGCCCACCACGCCATGCTTTGGCCTTTGACCGGCCGGCCTCGATGGCTCGACCACCGACTTTGGCCGGCGCGCGAGAAAGGCCCATGTGCCAACACTTCAATTCTTCCGCCCATGTGCCCCCCCTTGGCTCCCACGACCACTTATACCATCGCACGCTGCCTTGCGGGCGCAGCACCGCCGACCACCGGCGCTCAACGGCGGTTTCTTGGCGCCTCGCTGCTCCTTATCGCACTGGCGCGCCCGCCTGCACGCTGTGGTCACAGTGGTCACAGTCCATGGTGCACAGCGAGCTCAAGGGCTCCTCACCCCTCTAGAGAGAAACAGGATAGATGGGTGGCGGATCTGACTATTCATCCCTGAGTGCCGCAACTCGGTACCCCTGCATCAATCCACTTCGCCTTCCGTTCCGTAAGTTGGCAAACTCATCTGTCAAGCAATTATCTACTTGTCCGTGCGACTGCGAGTATGACATTCTTGCATTGGAAAAAGTCTACTTAACCCCCCACCTTTCATATATGGTCTACTTCACCCCCAACTATGAAACCGTCTGTTTTACCCCCTGAACTTTCCAAAACCGTCTATTTTACCCCTCGGACGGTTTTTGACAGCGGGTTTGCTACAGTAACAACGGGTTTGCTACAGACAAAATTAGATTTTCCAATTAATCTAAGGCTACAGTAAAAATTTTGTACTAAAGCATATCGTATTATATATTCACTGTATAGATCTACTCATGTGGAGTCCAATAAAATTAGATTTTTCATTTTATGATTTTTCTATGATTTACTATTATTTGTTTAAAAATTCACCGAAAATAAATAAAAAAACAAATTCAAACCCACCGGTACTGTAGCAACCAACCGTACTGTAGCAACCCGATATTACTGTAGCAAAGCCGCTGCCAAAACCATCCGGGGGGTAAAATAGACGGTTTTGGAAAGTTTAGGGGGTAAAACAGATGGTTTCATAGTTGGGGAGGTGAAGTAGACAATGTATGAAAGGTGGGGTTTAAGTAGACTTTTTTCTTCTTGCATTTTTTTAAGAGATTCTGTACTCCATAGAAATATAGCGCGTGTTTAGTTGCTACCCAAAATCCAAAAAAGTGCTACAGTACCCATTAAATCGAATCTTGCGATACGTGCATGGAGCATTAAATGTAGACGAAAAAAACTAATTGCACAGTTTGGTTGGAAATTGCGAGACGAACGTTTTGAGCCTAATTAATCCATGATTAAACACTATTTATCAAATAAAAACGAACGTGCTACAGTAGCCCAAATTTCCAAATTCAGGGAACTAAACACGCTGATAGTGGTTGAGCCCCTTGTTCGTTTACATATCTGTTAGCAGAAAGTACTAGTGAAGTACGCTGAT